TAGTTTACTTGTTTAGAGAAATAATGAAAATAATTTGGCTCATTTCAAGAAATAATGATTAAAACAAGGAACATGATCTGTCAATGAAATAAGACACTTTTATAAGATAAAACTGCTTAAAAACAAGTAAAAATGTCTAGCAATAAGTTAAATAATCTCACAATATTTTTTTCATAATGTCTCATAATGAGAAATAGTAGATTTATTGACTACATTTAAGATGTTTACACTCACTAAGATGTCATGTAGAGGGTAGAATAGAGGGTCTTAATCCAGATTTCTTTACTGACCTTCACTGTGAGTTTTTTAGATGAGCATCAGTCCACAGTCTGTGCAGCACGGTGAGTTAATTAGCTTAACGACTGACTGAGATTCAGACGGAGGGTCTTGTGCTCCATCAGCGAACGGCCTGTTAAGGAAACGAGCAAATAAAAACAGTAACAGCAAACAAGTAAGATACTCCTCTCAGATGTTAACAGTGTTTTTCGACTGAAATGCTCTTTATCAAAACTTCATTCAAATTTTTTCAACAATTTTATAAAGATTTTCTGATTTCTTTTGAGTTGAATTGAAAAGTTTAGATTTTTGATGAGTTTAATTTTTAAATAAAAATATTTATTAAAAAAATGCTGTTCCATGTTTTCATGTCACCACCGAAACAAAACAGTTTTAGTCTGTGGGCGGAGCTTTATTTTAACGCCCCTGCATTTTAGAGCAGGAAGTGAGGCTGCATCCCTGTCCCTCATGGCCACATGGTGAGCAGTTAGATCCCATTGTTTTGAAGTAAATGTGTCCCAGAGTCTGAAAATCACTGTGGAACATTAAGAATTGTCACTACCGAAACACATTTTTTGCAGTTATGTACTTTTTTGTGTTTTAATGGAAAGATTCTGATTTTCTGTGTGAACAGCTGTTCAAAGCTGTGTTTGCTGGTTTACTGGCTGCGTTTTTGAGCTCAAAATGAGCTAAAATTGTCACCACTGAAACAGTGACAACTGAAACACTTGATAATGTTTGGATGTTATGATTGTTTTGGTGGAGAGAACATGGGATGTTCAGTTATTAGTTTTAGTTAAAATAATCATAATTAAGGTTTAGAGTCACTCAGAGCAAAAGGATTTTAGTCTGAAGTCCAAAATCAGTTAAAATCCCAAACGTGTTTCAGCTCTGACTCTGAACCAGCTCAGTAGAATCATCTGTTATGCCTCAGTTTCACTGTCTCCTTATGGAGATCCACTGCTCTACAACCTCAGACCAAAACACCTGGTCCAGATAATTATTGCCTTCAGACGTCCTGGATGAGCTGGATCAGGTGTGTTAGATTTGTTTGGAAGTGTAAAGCGGAACGCTTTTGTGCTAATCTTATACAAACACAACAATAATAATAATAATAATAATAATAATAATAATAATAATTCAGAGCACGTTTTTACCAACACTCTGTAAAACATCCTAGCAACAGTAGCCACACTTAAAAAAGATGGTTCTTCAAGGGTTCTTTAGTAAAGACAATGGTTCTATATAGAAGCATGAACACTCAAAGAACCCTTTGCATGATTAAAGTGTTCTCTGCATGGAGAATGTGCTGTAGATGATTCTATATAGAACCTTTTTGAAAAGGGTTCCATACAGGACCAAAAAGCGTTCTTCTACTGTAACAACCTTGACAATAGAGAACCCTTTTTGGTGCTATTTAGAACCCTTTTCAAAAAACGTTCTGTATGATTATGATGTCATGCCTGTAACAATAGAAGAACCCTTTTTGGTGTTATATAGAACCCTTTCATGATGCAAAGAACTCTTTCATGATGCAAAGAACCCTTTAATCATGCAAAGGGTCCTTTGAGTGTTCATGGTTCTATATAGAACCATTTTCTTTACTAAAGAACCCTTGAAGAACCATCATTTTTAAGAGTTTAGTCTTCAGAAATCCTCAGTAAATCCAGTAAATGAGAAACTCACAGTTTAGTCATTCGAGTGTTTCTGTTCTTTGAGCCTTTTCAGAATAGAAACATCACATTGTGTATTTGGGGGGAAAAATCGTAGGTGAACCACTTGTACTGATGTAGCCACAAGAACTGTTTTGCATAAATGCAAAATTAAGTCAAAACCTGATGGAAAGTGTGATTTTTGACATTTTTAAGCTTTTTTTGGTAGAATAGTAAAAAAAAACCATCTTATCAAGTGAAAACGTCTTAAATATAGACAATGAATCTAATATCTCTCATTATGAGACTGTTGTAAGAATATTATAAGATTATTCCACCTGTTTCTGTACATTTTTACTTGTTTTAAGTGATTTTATCTGGTGAAAGTGTCTTATTCCATTGGCAGATTAGTTTACTTGTTTAGAGAAATAATGAAGATAATTTTGCTCATTTCAAGAAATAATGATTAAAACAAGGAACATGATCTGCCAATGAAATAAGACACTTTTATAAGATAAAACTGCTTAAAAACAAGTAAAAATGTCTAGAAATAAGTTAAATAATCTCACAATATTCTTACAACAGTCTCATAATAAGAAATATTAGATGAATTGACTACATTTAAGATGTTTACACTCACTAAGATACCATTTTTTGCAGTGTGGACAGTTCTGTGAGCTTTCCATCTCTGTAAAAGCCTCATTTGACCTCACTGTTTAAAGCCAGTATGAACCTGCAGAGCAGGGAGGAAGTTTGTCTCTTCTAGAGCTCCCTGCAAGGGTGCACGATAATAAATGACAGGAAACAGCCATTTTTAAGAGCCTGTATCCTACATTTCTACACACCCCTCCTTCCCTGAGGTCCACATCTAACACTTGTGTGGTTTTATGTGTCAAAAACAGCCATAATTCATTTTTACACAACCATTTTCAATCCTCTCTTAATCCTTTGGAGATTTGCTGTTGCTGTCTCTTTAACACTGATATGTAAATGAGGTCTGTTCTGATTGGCTGCCCTGTATTGTGCCACATTCAAAAAGTAGTCCAGGCTGAAACACTCCTTGTAACTTCACTGTGAGTGGGCGGGGCTGAACTGCTGTAGGCCGAAGAGACATTTATTTAAATATGTGACATCACAAAAACAGTTCATTTAAAATGGGCTGTTTTTGCAGTTTTGTTTCCAGACGTGGAGCCTATGGACCAGAAAGTGAACGGTACATTTCTGTTTACAATCAAGTGATGAATCTTCAGTTTTCCCTGATATGGGCCCTTTAATAAGGTGTGGGTTAAAAAGCAGTGAACTTGCCCTTTAATGATAATGGACTTCCTAGAACATGCAGCATCTATAAGCATGTGTTGGAACTAAGGCAGTGTAGGAACTGGAGTTTGTTAGACTCTCCTTCTCTTTTTAGGTCCTTTTCGTATAAAATAAAATGCTAAAGCGCCAAAGTGAGAGAAACTCAAACAACAAAACAGAATAAAAATAAAAAATAAACATGAAATCAATAAATTAATGTAACTAAATGCAGTTTAAATGAGTTATGGATACACAGGAACTGAGAAAAAATAGATAGAGACAGATAGAGCTAGCTGAGTAGAAGTAAAAACATTAAAAACATTCTTCAAAATGGAAAAATGGGACATCGTCTGATTCACTGACACTAAATAAGAGTGAAATATATATTAATTCTTTGATTACTTTTGTTAAAATGTGTTATTTATCCAAATATAAATAATGGGAAATCATTTTAATACATTTAATATGTTCTGAGAATAAAGAAACGGTAACTTTGTCCTTCAAAAGGGGAACTCCACCTACTTTTCTAAAATTTCTGCATGACTAAATGGTTAATATGTAGAGAGTCATTCAGAGTGGTTTGGTGTGAAACGCTCTGTTCTAGAGAAACTTACTGAGTCATAATTGTTCACAGTGGTGGTGATAGGAACCAGACGTCTACCTCTAAAAGCTCCCTTACAAATAGTTATGAACAATGATTTTGAGAAGGTTTTGGCCTTAAATCTGTTTATCAAAATCCATTCACGGTGGAGGGATACATGCAGGGCACAGTAAGGGCAAAATAGTCCCCAAAGATTATTATTATTTCAGATTTTCCACTATTTTTCCATCATCAACATTCCATATAAACTCAGAAGACTCGTGTAGGTTCACTGGTGGTTTTGGATAATAAATAAAATGTCTATATTTGTGTTGTAGTCATGGAGACCCCTGGTTCCTATCACCAAGGATGGATAACAGTAACCATAAAATTATTGTTTACCATTGTTTATACTTAGATAACAAACTAGAGGGTGTTTGTTCCATTTATAAAGTGCAGTTTCGATGGGTTTGTAATTTTCTCAAATAGCTATATTTGTGATGAAATTAATCTTTTAAAATATATTAAATTTCATGTATTTATTTTGTGTGGTTTTATTCTATTCTGTTGGTTCAGTTTTTCTTACTTTGTTGCTTTAAGTTCGGATTTCTTTATGTAGCACATTTGAGGAGTTTTACACAAACAAAACAATTAAAAGAGAGTTATAAATGAAAGAAAGGCAGGACCGAAAAAAATACAAACATAGCAAACAATAAGCAAACGTTTATTATAAACATAATAAAATTGAATTACAGGAGATAAAATGACGTGAGACATATAAGAATATAAAACAGGGTCTCAGTCATCAGGCAGTGAATTCATAACCATTTCATGTAGTAACTTTCTGTGAGGGAGCTTTTAGAGGTGGACGTCTGGTTCCTATCACCACCACTGTGAACAGTTCTGACTCAGTAAGTTTCTCTAGAACAGAGCGTTTCACACCAAACCACTCTGAACGGCCGTTTACGTATCAATCCCTGGGATTTTTGACGCAACTTTGAAAATTTGGTGGCGTTTCCCTTTGATAGCGTCTTCATGCTTGTTCGAGCGCCCCCTGTGTGCGGCTGGCGGTACCTCAGGAGCGCTGCGAGTCTTTTGTGTGTGTGTGCGTGTGTGTGTGAGGGGGTGTGTGTGAGCAGAGCACTCTCCTCCACACACACACACACACACGCACACACACACGCACACACAGAGTGAGTGAGTGAGTGAGTGAGAGAGAGAGAGTCAGTGTGAGCAGTGAGAGCTGAGGAACAGCAGCAGCGTTTTTCTCTGCCTTTACAGACCTGAGCACTTTTTCCCTCCAGCCAGCCTCGTTTTTTTAAAGTTTTTTCCTCCCTCCTTCTCTGCCTCTCCTCCTTTGTTTTGTTCTCTTCTCTTCTCTTTTCTTCGCTTCTACTCCAAACCGCGAGCGGATGTGAGCTGCAGAAAAAGTGAGGCTTGTTTCTTTCATTTTCTGCGCTCCGGTTTTTTTTTTGTTTTAGGGGTTTTGTGTTGCTTTTGGAGCTCGTTTTGTTTTGTCCCTGCATCTCGCGCGTGTGCGCGCGCTTGGAGAAGAAAAATAAGAAGGAGAAGAAGCGATAAAACAACGACGACGACAACAACAACATCAACAGCAGAGAAGTTTCAGTGAGAAAAAGCGGGAGTTTTGGTTGATGGTTTCACTGAAATGGACGTGAGGTTTTATCCCCCTCCAGCAGCAGAGCCTCCTTCAGCTGCAGACCCTGCCCGGCTGGGAAACTCTCACTATTCAGACTACTGCACCAAGGTGAGCCCAGATCCACTACCCTACTGCCTCGAAGCCGAGCTCAGCAGCCTCACTCTGGGCTGGGATGTAGTGAAATACACTGGAAAACATGTTGCTTTGAATTTAATTGGTTGGAATGTGCAGGTTGGCTCCACATATATGAAATATATGACCACAACATAATTACTTCCATTCATTTTGCTTACTTTTGGCAAGAAATGTGTTGATTTATTTTATTTATGTGGATTTGCACATTTGAATTCACTTAAAAATCATTAAAGCAACACTGTTGTCAGTGTACAAGTGTTGGAAATACATAAGCAGAATACAGAGATTAGTAACTGTACCTGTATAGTCACATTTCATAAAGGCAGCATTCAGAATATACTGCTTTTTACATTTTTAGGAGGACACTTTTGGAATAATTACCTGCTAAATTAAAAATGCACACCATCTTTAAAAGAAACATCATCAATACTAGCTTATTAAATTTGAAAATCAGCTCACAGCATACAGAAAACAGGCTCGTTAGACAAACATTAAAGAACTTTATTAACCACGCCTTTACGAACCCAGAGGTTCCCGCTAAAGCCTGAGTAGACTGATAAATCAATGTGATGATCAGTTATTAATCTCAGTGTTTCTGAGCTCTGCTAAAGCCTGAGTAGACTGATAAATCAATGTGATGATCAGTTATTAATCTCAGTGTTACTGAGCTCTGCTAAAGCCTGAGTAGACTGATAAATCAATGTGATGATCGGTTATTAATCTCAGTGTTACTGAGCTCTGCTGAAGCCTGAGTAGACTGATAAATCAATGTGATCAGTTATTAATCTCAGTGTTACTGAGCTCTGCTAAAGCCTGAGTAGACTGATAAATCAATGTGATGATCAGTTATTAATCTCAGTGTTACTGAGCTCTGCTAAAGCCTGAGTAGACTGATAAATCAATGTGATGATCGGTTATTAATCTCAGTGTTACTGAGCTCTGCTAAAGCCTGAGTAGACTGATAAATCAATGTGATCAGTTATTAATCTCAGTGTTACTGAGTTAAGTGGCCTGTTATGTCTGATGAATATGAATATCTGATGAAGCTGACGGGTTTCATGCTGACTGATGGAGAAGACAAAGTATGATCAGTAATCAGCAACTGTATCTGAGCTTTAACTGTATAAATGAATGAGTGGGCTTCAGCATTTGGCAAACAACAGGTCACTGTTGCCCTTTTTTAGTGTAGTAACTGCTTATTAGTGATTTTTAAGGTTTTTAAAGTTTTTGAGCTAATTAATGAGCATTAATAAACTCATTGTCCCTTATAAGAGCGCTCCTATTCTAAAGGGGTTCCCAAAGTGTTAACAGACATGCGCAAAGTAAAATAAGTAAAATGAAGTTCAATCAAACATGAGTTCATGTTCAAATGCAGCCCAATGCGTCAAAGCATCCACGTTCACCCTATCACTCGCAGTTTACTCAGATTCACTCAAACAGGCCTTGCAGGCCCTGCGTAGAATCCTGCTGTCTGTCCCGCCGCTAATTAAAGTTTCTGCTGATCTCAGACACTGTGGGAAAGAGAGGATAGTTAGCATTAGGTTGAATGAAAGCGCTTTTCTGCGTATTTGGTACATTGGCTGCATGTGGAAAGTGCATTTGCATGTGTAGCTGATGTAGTTTGTGTTTAATTTGATGTGTTTTTGCTGTATTTGTGTTTTATTGGTTTATTATCATATTCTGTGCTAGTATACTTTCGGTTGTACACTGTTTAGGCAACTATTTCATAGTATATCTATTTCAACTATTTCATATATGTATGTATACATATATGTATAATGGTATATTTTATTATATATTGGTCCTGTTGGTGCTGAAATTAGTGCTGTTCATCATAAAGTCACTCAGAGATAACATTTTTCTGATACTAATTATTATATACTAGGTAGCATAGTATTAGATACTGTTGTTTATTGTTTGTATATATATATATATATATATATATATATATATGTATACATGTGACATACACGCACACACACACACACATATGTATCTCTCTCTCTTTCTCTCTCTCTCTCTCTATATATATATATGTATATACATACACACACACACACACACACACACACACACACACACACACACACATAGTCCTATTGGTTCAACTTCCTGAAATTGCTGCTGTAATAATTCCATTCAGGGACACTATTTCTATAATACTATTTATTATATACTGCCTAGCAAACTATTATATACTGTTTTATTGTTGTTGTTCAGTCTTTTCTGTCTAACACTTTTCTTGTGCATATTGAAGGACACGTTTTTCCTCTGATTTAAAAAAAAAGCTCTATCTCTCTACGTATATCCATCTGTCTGGCCATGTAAGTCCTGTTTGTCCGGCCTGGTGCTGAAATTAGTGCCGTTAGTTCATCATAAAGCCATTCAGGGAGGAGAAGCTGATGCTAATGAAGTTGAAAGCTCTGCCGCTGGAAGCACCTGCTCACTTGCACCTCGCAGCAGCTCTTTGAGTTCGAGTATGTGGGCATAAAGTCACTGTTGGAGGGTTTTGAGCTGCTGAATGATGTCTGATGGTTGCGGTTGTGTTCTCGCTTTATTCGGGTGCCGGTGGCAACTTTGGTGGAGGTCAGATTCTCGAAGCCCCTCGGGGGAACAGCGGAGCTTTGTGGTATTGTCTTTTCCCCCTGTTTCCCCGTAATGATGGTGCTGTTGCTCTGCGCGAGCGTGTGTGAGCGAGGAGGGGGTAGGGTTACTGTGGGGTGATGCAGTGGGGGTTGGGGGCTTTGCATTATTCTTCTTTTCACTGCCTCTTGATTCGCTGCCACGGGGGCTCATATCCATGTCTAAGGGAAGTCACATTGTCATACACAGACACTTTAAAGGCTTTCTGCGTGAAATCTTTTAAACCTGAGTGGATGGTGTGTGTAGACACATCATGTGCTCAAAGATTTAGTCTTTATAATTGATATTGTGTGAATTGCAGTCATTAAAATGGTGTTTTGTGATTTAAGGTCATCTTTAGTCAAACAATGGTGAATAGATTAGCGTTTGTGTAATTTACAGGCATTTAAATACCTTTTTAAATCACTTTATCATTCAAAACGTCATACAAAAGTACAATACATTAAACTTTTTGGAGTACATAATTATGTATTTGATGATACTAACATTTAATTTTCTTTGGGAAATGGTGTTGTTAGTCATTTTTAACCAGTATATTATAAATGTGTTACTGGTTTTATGGCATGGTGTGATTGTAAGTGCATTAAAAATGGTACTGTGAGGTTTTAAAGATAGTTAATGAATTTAAATCACATGATATCATACAAAGTATTGTACACAACAGTAACACAGTACTATATTACCACACATCATCGCTGTCAGAACAAAACCTCACAGCTCTAAAATGGTAACTTTACAGGAGGAGGACAAAACCTTCTTAACTTTTAATGGAAGTTAATGTAACCAGACTGTTTTCCAAGTAAGTCCATGACATCTTAACACACTATAAAGAGCAATTAGACTTTCAAATTAAGCAAAAATAGTAAAAATGACAAAAATGGACATGTGACATACCTATAGGTGATAATATGCCGAAACATATAAAATGATGTCATTTTCATCAGGGAAACGTGTTGGTTAGGTTTAAAATGGTTTATTTTAAATGTAAAGTGGTAACTCGTCTTCTCTCATCCGCGTTTCTGTAATTAGTTCTTTTTGAAGTGTGAGATATAAATAGTTCTGTGGGGCTAAAAGCTTCTCGTCTTTGCTGGATTATTAAATTCAGTTTATAGCAGAGACAGATGGAGAGATGGAGAGAGAGAATGAGGGGCTTTCAGATATAATCCATACCGTATAGAGTCCACAGAGAGTATAATCTATACAGGATATAATCTATGGAGAGTATAATGAATACAGTATATAATCTTTAGTAAGTTTAGTGTATATAGGATATAATCTGTAGCAAATATAATCCATACAATATATAGTCTATAGAGATTATAATCTATACAATATATCATTTTTGGAGACTATAATCTATACAGTAAATAATCTATGGAGAGTATAATCTATACAGTATAATCTATAGAGAGCATAATCTATGCAGTATATAATCTACAGAGAGTATAATCAAACCCATATATAATCTATGGAGATTGTAATCTATACAGTATATTAGCTCTAGAGCGTATAATAGAAACAGCATATAATATATAGAGAATATAATACTTTCAGTAGAGAGAGAGAGAGAGAGAGAGAGAGAGAGAGTAGAGTGAAAAGGGTGAGTGAGGGGGGGGCAGAGACACAGAAAGACAGAGAGAACGAGTAAAAATAATGAAGAGACGAAGGAGAGATGGAGAGTAGAAAGAGAGAGAGAGGTTGGAAACAGAGAGATGGTTAGAGATATATAGAGATGAAACAGAGAGTTGAGGCAAAGAGAGAAGAGAAAAAGATACAAGAGATAGATAACAAGAGGGAGAAGAATGAAAGAAAGAGAATGAGAAAGATAAAGGGAAGCAACAAGGGAGAGGAAAGCGAGAGAATTAACAAGAGTTGAGAGATGAAAGAGAGAGAAAGAAAGAAAGACAGAAGAGGGAGTAAAAACAGTACAGAGACGTGGAGAGAAGCAAGAAGAGAGTGGAGACAGGAAAGAGAGAGGGAGAGAGAGAAAGAGAGAGTAGAACGAGAGAGAGAGTAGAGAGTGGAGAGGGGAGAGAGAGAGAGAGTGGAGAGGGAGAGAGAGAGTAGAGAAAGAGAGAGAGAGAGAGAGTAGACAGAGTAGAGAGAGAGGGAGAGAAGCAGAACCCTTTTTGGGTGCTATATAGAACGCTTTTCAGAAAGGTTCTACGTAGAACTATCTACAGCACATTCTCAGTCAATCTGAAGAACCAGTTCGCCATGCAAAGAACTCTTTAATCATTCAAAGGGTTCTTTGAGTGTTCATGGTTCTATATAGAACCATTTTCTTTACTAAAGTAAGATCGTATCAAATGTGTGTATTTAATATCAAG